CAAACAGTAAAATGACCTAAACTGCTGTCAGGTATCCTTAGCTGCCGACTATTGGGTTAGAATACTACGAACTTTTCCTACCCCTGCGTGGGTCACCGGCGTTCCTTTATGGCGTTGAACTGATCCGGTATTGACGACTTCCTAGAGGAGGCCGGAATGGAACGGGTTAATACGACCGGATTTAAGAAAAGTGTACTTTGAATAATAATAACTGTACATAGTGTGGTGATGGAGAATGACAATGACATCACATGTTCACCTACAGGGGTTTGGGAGGGTGCTTCAGTTCATTTTACGGTAGTTGTGCAAGATAGGGTACACATTGTTCATAGCTTCGTGCATTTGTTCCCGTGACTTGGCACCTGCAAAGGACGGAATCCAAATCAGCTCGTGCAAACGGTATCACGTTGTTATCCAAAATACTAGGTTATACGGATACAAATTGCCTGATCGCGTTAATTGCTCAAAATATTGGTAGCCATGTGGGAACTTTTGAGAATGAAGTTTATCAGGGGTGTACTAAGAAAAACCAAAACTATTTTAGCATAAAAGCAAATAGACGACCATCAATGCCGTTAACAGTCACATAGAAAACATAAGTAATCGGATTTATCCGCGTCTGAACTCGGAAAACATTCACGGTCGAGGTTAAAACAACACTATAAGGTAGTATAACTTAGTTTGAGTGCACCCTGATTCGTGGCGCGTGCGAAAATAGCAGAAGTACGCAAGCATCATTTTAACTTTTGGTGCTGCCATGCTTTCTTCAGCCAATGTGGTTCACAGATAAGGAAGAAATAAATGAAAACAAAAAGCCTTCCGGTACGGCTAGCGGTTAGTATTTTGGTCAGCCTTCCCTCGCACCTCGCGAAATGATGTCATACGACCAAGGTAGAGCTGTATGCTACCGAACGCATCCCAGGTTCCGGAAGGGGGAACGGGCGTTAGCCAGGTATCTAGCAATAAATATGACGGAATACTGCCCACTGAATAAGCGGCAGCGTCCGAATAGTCCTTGCTCCTTGGGTTTTTGTGCACTGTATTCAAGCAGAGTCCTATGGATTCAAATTAAGTTAATGGTTGTACTAGAAACCCTGGAAGTGTTGAACTACTGGTTTGTAATTATTCGAAGGACAGACAGATTGGAAAAGGTTACTACTATTGGCAATAGTCGCAACCCTTTCTGTCTAATTAGGAATACGGGTCCCAGGAACATATGCGTGAGGTAATTAAGGAATCCGATGGTACACTGATTCACGACCACCAACGCCGCCTTGATCGATGGGCTGAACCCTTCAAGGCCCAGTCCAACTGCCCCTCATCGACATATGAACTATCATCCCCCACCTCGACTGGGCGAATACGCCCTGTTGATGCCAGTCCTACATCTGAAATGGAGGTTCCCTGGGAAATAAGTTATCTAAAAAAGCATGAGGCCTCCGGCCTGAACGGACTGTCTTCAGCCGCTTTTAGGGATGGAGGTTTAGCCTTGGTTTCGGATTTAACAAAACTCCTGGGCTCAGTGGAACGGGGAAGAGGTTCCAGCTGAATGGTGTGAATTGGTCATGATACCGATTTACAAGAAAGGTGACAGATATTCTTGTGAAAACCACAGAGGAATTAGTTTCATCAACATTGCCTCTATACTTCTCGCTGGGATCGTACTCCGTCGATTGTCTGCAACACGTGTGAGAACCAGGCTGGCTTTAGACCTGGTCGAGGTCGACCACATCTTCACTCTTCGCCGAACTCTGGAGCACCGACATTATTCTCCTAGACCCACCATCTCTGTCTTTCTCGATTTGAAAGCGGCGTTCGACTCAGTCAACCGCTCTAAACTCTGGTGCTGCCTTTTCGTGAAGGGTATACCCGAGATGTTTTTTCAATATTACGATCCCCCTGTACTTAGCCGAAGCCAAGCTTACGGCGCGCTTTCATCTGAGTTCACCATGAAAAGTGATGTTCATCAGGGCTGCCCTCTCTCTTTCCTTTTCTATTTAACTTTGTTAAAGATTTGATCATGGAAAGAGCCCTATCCTCAAGCGAAGATAGTGGAATCGATTTACTCATAAGTGGCAGACTGTTTGATCTAGAGTACGAAGACGACATTGTGCTGCTAAGTAAAGCTCCAGGTAAGCTACAAGCTTTTTTGGAAAGTTTGAGTACTATTGTAGCCATGTTCGGTATACCTTTTGCACCTTAAAGTGTAAAATGCGAACACAAGACTGGGTTGATCCAGCCCACAGACTCACTCTAATTGGCGAAGTAATAGAGGAAGTAGACAAATTTTGCTACCTGAGCACCTACATTTCACCCGGTGAGGGCATCACGGATGAAGTTTCAGCTCGCATACAGAAGGCTAGGTTGGCATTTGTCAACTTAAGACATCTGTGGCACCGTCGCGACATCCGGCTGTGTGTAAAGAGTCGAGTGCATGCTGCAGCAGTTC